AATAATTTGGAAAGGGGACTTAAACTTGTCCTGAATGGGCATATTGTTTAACATATTACTGAAATTACTCAAAAATCCTTGATTTTAGGCTATCCGGGGGTCGTTACCACGCCAACCGTTATAAATGGTAATGCAATTTGCATTTCATTACTTTTCTTCATGGTGAGGTATTCTAAACTTTCATTCTCTGGGCCTGAAAACCAGGATATAGACACCAAAATGAACTTTCAACGCCTCTCCAATGCCAAAATATAGCCAAAATATGGCATATAGTACCGTACAGGGCATCTTGTTAACTCTAATTCATGTTGCCATGGTAATAATGGGAAGGTTCTATAGAGCATATTCTTGGCTTATATGATGTATTAGTCATATAGTTTTGTCATTAATTTGGAAAGGGGACTTTTACTTGTCTTGAATGAGTATATTGTGTAATATATTACTGAAATTACTCCAAAATTCTTGATTTTAGGCTATTCTAGGGTCGTTACCATGGCAACCATTATAAATGGTGATGTAAGTTGCATTTCATTACTTTCCTTTATGGTGAGGTATTCTAAACTGTATATTTTAAGCATTCAAAAGCGTTTTTATAATTTGTGAATGACTTTAACTGTTTCTTTGAATAATACCGGTTTTATTGTTGTGTTGCCATGGAAACTGCTGATTATATGACTAAGCTGCCAGTCTGGAAATGCTATCATATCAAAATATTATGTATAGATGTAGGACATTTCAAAATGCATGAGTAGATCTTGCCACCTTGAGTGGTACCAATAACTCAAATTTCTGGTCTTGGCCCATGGACTATAGGGGCCTTACAGAACCCAAGTCAGACCTGGGCGGTATTCTGAAAATTGTTGTAAGTTTTGTGTTATCTTTTGTTGTATCTTCCAGAGATAACACAGCGCTAATATTGTTGTAAGTTGGTATTCTGAACATTGTTGTATCCCTGTGTTATCTCTTGAAGGACCGCCTCTATCTTATCTTTGACCCAAGCCTTCAATTAAGCGGGTGCAGGGCGCAAATTTGCGCTAATAGAACCACCAATTGCGCCCATAATCATCTAAAACTAGACAGCAAGGCGAAAGTGTTTGCCGTGAAAATGCGCCCATAAAGTATTAGAACAGAAAAAATACACGAATCACAAACAGTTTGCCGTGCACAAGCTCTCTACTAGCTTTGTATTTATGCTTTAATAAGGCGCAAGTGTTTCCGTCAAAATGCGCCCTTTGTTACTATAGGCTAGCGCACGTACGTACGTAGATCTACTCAAATTCAGATCATGCGATCGCTAGATGGTGCTGTCAGGCGCGGATCCAGGATTTCTTAGGGGGGGGGGGGCCCAAATTTGAAATTTTGCGAGCCAAATATTGGTACGTAATGGTGACCAACAGTGACATAATGCGGCGGGGGGGTCGGTGCAGGGAGGGGCGAGTTTCCCCCTCCCTCCTCCGCGAAACGCAGAAGCTTTGACGTTTCATTAAATTATTAGAGAAAGAAGACGATTCGTTGTACCGTTCTCTCTCTAAAAAATTTCTCGTCTGAATTAAGTTTTTCACCACCCGCGTGAAGCGTGAAAAATTTTATGATTTATTTAACTATTAGAGAAAGAAGACAGTTCGTTGTAGAGTTTTCGACTCTTAATCCTCGTCTGAATTCAGGTTCCCCCCCCCCCCCCCCCCCCCCCTCCGCGAAGCGCGGAAGCTTTTAAGTTTCTTTCAATCATTAGAGAAAGAAGACGATTCGTTGTACCGTTATCGAAAATAATCCTTGGCTGAATTTAGATTTTTCCCCTCCCGCGCGAAGCGCGGAAGCTTTTACGTTTCATTAAATCATTCGAGAAACAAGACGATTCGTTGTACAGTTCTCGACTCTTAATCCTCGTCTGAATTCAGGTTTCCCCCCCCCCTCCGCGCGAAGCGCGGAAGCTTTTAAGTTTCTTTCAATCATTAGAGAAAGAAGACGATTCGTTGTACCGTTATCGAAAATAATCCTTGTCTGAATTTAGATTTTTCCCCTCCCGCGCGAAGCGCGGAAGCTTTTACGTTTCATCATTCAAGAAACAAGACGATTCGTTGTACAGTTCTCGACTCTTAATCCTTGTCTGAATTAAGTTTTTCCCCTTCCGCGCGAAGCATGGAAGCTTTTACGATTCATTAAATCATTAGAGAAAGAAGACGATTCGTTGTACCGTTCTCGACTCGTAATCCTTGTCTAAATTCAGTCTCCCCCCTCCCCTTCCTGCACGAAGCGCGGAAGCTTTGACGTTTCATCAAAATATTAAAGAAAGAAGACGATTCATTGTACCGTTCTCGACTCTTATTCCTTGTCTGAATTCAGGTCCCCCCTCCCGCAGAAGCTTTCAATTTTCATTAAATCATTAGAGAAAGAAGACGATTCGTTGTACCGTTCTCGAAAATAATCCACGTCAGAATTTAGTTCCCCCTCTATCCCGCGCGGAAGCTTTTGTTTCATTAAATCATTAAAGATTTGTATTATAGTTCTCGCCTCTGAATCCTCATTTGAATTCAGGTTCCCCCCCTCCCGCGCGCAAAGCGCGGAAGCTTTGACGTTTCATAAGATTAAGAGAGAAAGAAGACGATTTGCTGTACCGTTCTTGATTCTGAATTTCAAAGATATCCTTTGTCTGCTCCTTTTTCTTCCTACCCCCCCCCCCCTAGCTACGTGCCTGCGGTCCGATAAACACATTTTGATACCTTGTCCGACCCTGCAAGCTCAGGGGTTTAAGGCAATAACTTACGGTCAGATAAGCATTCAGGGGCCCGCCTTAGGCCCCTTGTGGGGTCGAGACGGCGGAGCCGGCCCGGAAGCTCAGGGGTTTTAGGCGTTTAACAAAGGTCCGATGAGCATTTTTTTTGTATACCTTATTATTTTGTGACACTGGCAGGACACTATTGGCGTGGGGTACAGGGGGCAGAGCCCCCCAAAATCAGGGGTTTTAGGCATTAAATTACCGTCAGATAAGCATCTATGGGCCCCCGTAGGGCCCTATAGGTGGAGTCCATGGGGGCAGAGCCCCCGGAAGATTAGGGGTTTTAGGCATTTAATCCAGTTCAGATGAGCATATTTTGATGCCTCATTGTTTTTTAACACGGGCAGTTAACTATTCTCTCTTTCTTGCTCTCATTCTATTTTATTTCTCTTTAATATACTTTTTAAAAAAACGTGTAGGGGGGGGAGGGAGCTCGAGGCTCCCGATCCCTGCCGTACCTCGGGCCCTGACATGTAGGAATATCAAGAATCATATTTCTTGCCTGGCTGTAAATTTAGGAATTTGTCATTTTCCAACAAACACATACAAACGTATAATTTACTAAAAAGTGAGGAAAAATCTCGGAAATAAAGTAATTTCAGCATTATTTGTAATCCACCGTTGTGGAATTAGAAAAAAAACCATGTTTGAATTTGATTTCCCCCAAGCCCCCCCCCCCCCTATCCGTACGCCAGTATCTCCTCTTTTCTTTTTTCTTTCCCTTTCCTTCCTTCTCTCTTATTTTTTTTATTAGGGGGGGGGGGGAGTCAACAGCCTGGGAGGCAAGGCTCTTTCGGCCCCCCCCCTGATCTCCTTCTTTCCCCTTTTCTTTTTTCTTCCTCTTTTTTCTTTCCCTTTCTCTCCTCTTTCCCTTTCCCTTCTTTTCCTTTCTTCTCTCTCTCTTTTTTTTTTTTTTTTTTTTTTTTTGCGGGGGGGGGGGGGGGGGGGCCAAGGCCAGCTCGGCCCCCCCCCCTGGATCCGCGCCTCAGTGCTGTGGCGCACGCACGTACGTACAAATGTATTGAAGGATCAAGAAAACAAATCGTCAAATGGAGAAATAAACAAGCATTCAAATAGTCATTAGAGATCTGTTGAGGTTTGTTTGTAGGTCTAGTTTATTATTTCATCTCAAATAGAATTTAGAATTCTCTTATTGATAAGTTAAGAACACCTACGATGTTCTCGATCATAGTTACTCTCATTTCGCAAACAGCCGACCTAGCCTTGTTTTGGCAAAAAGCTAGGCGGCAAGCTTCCCACCGCAAACCTTTCGAGTCCCGATAAAGTTGCGCACTGCAAATCCCCGAAGGTGCATTGGTCTTGTTGGCAAACTCCCAGCCCGCTAGCTTCCCGCCAAGGACCTTTCGCGGTATGGCGAGAGTGTGTGTGCGAGGAACGATTTTGGTTTCGAGAATGCACGTTACGCAACTTTATGATTTTTAGTAAGAATATTTGGTCAGTTTTCTTCTTATTTCTTTGGTTATACAATTAAAAAGATAATTCTTCAAATTTGCTCCTACTGCCGAGAGTGTGACGGAAAGTTTGTGTGTGAGGTGTGATTTTGATTTGGGATAAACTTCCCAAGTCCTTATGCCTTTCGATGTTTGTGAAATTGCCAATTTATTTATTCATTTGCTCATCAATATTTTTAGTTACTTTAAAATACTGTATAATGTGCAAGTTGATGTTCTTAATCAATCTTTCCTGTTGATCTTGTTAAGATTAAAATGTAATTAAATTTATCGTAGATCTAAATCTATTCATATTATGAAATTAACATTGTATCTTTGAACTTATTTAACTTGTGTAATTAGTTGTCATTATCTGTTTTGAGAAAATTGACCCTGGTTCTTAAGAAATTGCCCCTTGCTCTGGTAAATCCCCGTGGGCACGGGGCAACTTTTAAAAATAAATTGCCCCTTGCTCCTGGCTGCTTAATCTAAGGCTTGAGGACACTGCTAAAGTTTAAATTTGACAGATAGGACTTACATGACATATTCATAATTCCTGCAAAGTTCTACAGAATCTGATGTTGACTGCAAAAGGGACATAGTATCTTTAAGGCAAGTTTGGATATAAGGCGGTAAATTGCCACATTAAAAACAACGCCAGGGTCTTTTTTACATGTAAATGAATGGCAATCGAGCGCAACAAAGATCCTGCGCATATTCACTGAGCTCTGTGTTACTGCAGTATTGAAGGTCATATCTGAACAAAGCTTTACTTGTTTGCGTGAAAATGACATCCTCCATTGTCCGGTCGTTGTATTCTACGAAGACCACATATCTCCTGCCGGGTACCAGCCCCTCGAAGGTGTAGAACAGCGGGCACGTCTGGTTGGTTGGGAGACACATGGGCGTGTCACCTCGTAGGGTGCTGCAGAGTTCCTTCAGACACACTTGTTGACCGTTGGTGGCAGCATCCAGCCAGTTGACCTGAAGATTGGTGTTGCTGGTGCTGGAGACGTAGGTCTCGTTGTTGTCGTATTGACCTGTTGGAAGGTTTAGCATTCAAGATTCAGATTCAAGAAGCAAGTTTTATTGTCGATATATTGTTTAATAGAAACATGACTTCTATAGGGTTACATGCCTTCAGGTTGGCCCCAGGATAGACCTGGTCTGTCTCCTCTCTCAGGATGAGGTGAAAGCTCACTGCGACAGTAACAGAAATAATAACAATAAAAAGCGTATACAAGTGCAGCATTTTTCTCTAACTATTGAACTAAAGAACTCATGACTCAGACATAGATATGTATGTATGTAAAGGAAGTAATATCAAGTAGTTTAAGTAGTATAATTAAGCCACCTTCACTGCTTGATTTGTAATATGTTCTACATGTACGGTTTAGTATCACTTTTTTATGTTTATAACTTTCCTATAAAAATTTTACAGCTTGTAATATATTGTAATATATTTTTGTAAGTATTATCTATTTTCATACTGCAGTTTAAAATAAAACAAAATTCATTTTCATTTTATATTACACGTATACCTTGATATATTTATGTATTTGATTGAACTCTCATATCCTGAAAGGAAGTTGAAAGAGTCAATAAAATAATTTCAACTTCTACTACTACTTCTACTACTACTACTTCTACAACTACTTCTACTACTACTATCAATTATAACTAAACAATCAACAATAATAATAAAAAACATTTCTAATGTGTACATATATCCATTCCAAGGGATGCTTAAGGCATTTAACAACATACATACAATTATGAAAGAAGCAGTTCAGAAAACTTCATAAGACAAAGTACATACATAAACAATTGTGGAAAACATGGAAATCATAAAGTGAAACAAGATGAATGCCACTGCATCTATGATATGCCTCCACCTATGTGTGTGTTCATTTATCAATGTTCCTGTAACCTTAATAAAAACATCTGACCTCAAGAACCTGTCTTTTCATGCCCATACATATAGTGTACTTAAAAAATAAAATCATGTGAAAAAACCCAACCTCATACCTAGAATTCGGGTGTCACTGAAGATTTCGCTTTCTGCTTCATCCCCGCCGATACCCACAAAAGACGTCACATTAAACGTATACGGCGTACTTGGGGCCAAACCGTTGATGATCACTAATGTCTTGGCACTGCCCATCAGAGTATCCCGCACTCCGTCGTTGACACGGATCTTAAATCCGTCATAGTTGCCACCAGTTGCTGGAAGGTCGAAGGTCACTTCAAAAGCATCGCATGACGATGGATTTACCATGACATTCTGGGGGGGATTTGGATCTTCGATGGAAGGAATAAAGAGATATTCATCATCAACACAGCTGTCAAAACAAACCTTTATTATAGACAATCACCCACTGGTAGCACTTCATATTGACTTAATTTGTATATGCAGGATAGTTTCGTAACACATAGTACAGGGGGTATTTCACAAAACTTTTCATTAGTGACAAATGACAGTTTTTGTTATAAGCTACTGAAATCCTTGCTTCTGATTGGTTATCAGCAGATTTGTCACTGATTTTTGTCATTTGTCATTGAAAAAAAGGCTTTGTGAAACACCACCCTGATGTATACTGTGAGGTTTTGGAATTATAAAATGATAACAAATTAGCGCAGTCTAGCTAAAAGTCGCATGCAAGGTAGACATAAAAGTGTACATCTCACTACACACACGTGTGGCATGAAAGTGCAGTCCACATATTTTGCAAAAAAAAGGATGTTCAGGAATGCTGAAGAACATTTCAACGTTTGCAGATTTGAAAAAAAGTATGTTGGATTGGATTTAAAATAAAGGGTATGTTTTTTTAAAGAGTAAGTTAGATTAAAAAGGGTCACATTTTCACATTGTATGCTTGAAAATAGTTTGTGAAAACGGGGTTCTGTATACTCGGTAAGCAGGTATAAATAGGGAGAAAATTAGAAGGCATGTTTTAATGCAACAAGAAGTCATATTTTGTGGGAACTGAAAAATGCAAAATAGGGGTATTTGCCAAAATTATAATTTTTAGCATTGTATTTTGTCATCATACTTCTGATAGGGTGAAATCTGAAAGTAAAAATCTTCTAAAATGTATCTAAGGCTGCAATTACCGGTACCCAATAAGGCTCATTTAGATATGAAACAGAAAACCTGCGACTTTTTTCTATATCACGCAAAGGGAAACACACTTCATATTTCTGTATTTCACAACACAGATCTCATTTTGCCTTTCATTTTATGTGTTATAAAAAAAGTATTTTTTGTATTTTTTTTGTAACAGCAGCAGTTTACAATGCCATATCTGAACTAGCCTTTAGAAGTAAAAATTATAGTCACATGAATACAAAAATGTGATGATCAAAATCTGCAACTTCATGATAAAACAATTGGTTTTCACAAAGCACAAAGCTATTTGAAATGTCTTTTGGGGTTCATTATCTGTATATTTTAACTATCATTCAACATCGCAAAGACTATTGAAAACTAACAAAAGGCTAATTTCAGCACCTTATTCATTTTTCGAAAGTCTTTGTGATTATCTCATTCCCAGTTTCCTGGAAGAAATACTTACGATATCTGAAGTGGATCTCATTCAAGTAGTTGGTTGAGTCACTCGATGGAGCATTTGATGCGTACAGTAGATCTCCCGGTGAGACAGCGGGAAATGAATTGAAGATGATGCTCCCCATATTATTTACTGGCTGATTATCAAAAGTCTGCAATGTACTCCCGAAATGACCAAGTCTTATTTGCTGATTGGAAGACGGCTGGCCCTCGGGCAAGGTGTAAGCAACACTGATAAAGGTTTCGCTCCTTACCGTCACCTCTATGCGGGAGACTTTAGGAAGAAAAAGTAAGTAGAAACATGGTAAAGGACTAAATAAATCAGTTCTTCAGCCTCAAATTTACTTGTATATATTCCACTCTTTCAATTGCGTTCTTGTTTCAGACCGCAAATGCCTTCAATTACATGGTTAGTGCTTTTAATCTTATTTATGACATTTCTAGTGCCCTTTTAGGACCTAACATTTCTATGAAGGTAATTTCAGACCCCAAAATGTGTGAAATTTAGCCAATACGATCATACCAATTTAGCTCTACTTTTATAAAAAAATACGGTCACGGTGACCGTTAATTGATTAATTAATTATCGGTAATAATAACAATACATGGGCCGACTGGTTGTGCGTTTTATAACCAACACAACAAAATCAACAAAAAGACAACAACGGCATTGGCGGGAATAAAAAGTAGGTGCTATTTCATTTTTTTCAATGGCTGGTTCAAATTATCTACATTTTGTGGTGGTACACAAATATTAGAACTGGTTATATTTATGGATATTTCAGCCGTTTCTGAACCAATTTTGATCAAACAAAGATGATTTTGTCATTTAAATAATATGTTCTTTCAAATTTGACAGTCAGTTTTTCATTATCTCACCAAAAAATATATTTTGTGTAGCGCCCTCTGCAACAGAACTCAACTATCCCTTTAAAATGTATATGAAATGAAGCAGTATGAATCGAAATTACTGAAACATCAACAGCAAATTGCCAATTTATACATTATTATCTCACCAAAAAAATATATTTTGTGTAGCGCCCTCTGCAACAGAACTCAACTATCCCTTTAAAATGTATATGAAATGAAGCAGTATGAATCGAAATTACTGAAACATCAACAGCAAATTGCCAATTTATATATGAAAAAAGTCCAATTACAAATGTTTACACTGCATTGCCAGCTTAGAGACTGCATTTACAATGATTATTTTCTATTATTTTGCTCTTCACGAACGGCACAAAGTACTTCAGCAGAAATGGACTCATAGTGATGTTTTTCAGCGATGTTTCCACTTTCTGCAGATGTTTAATTTGTCATCCAGAGCATTCTGGATCGGATCAAAAGATAAAAATAATAGGGACTTTTAGATTTGAACATCGACATAGTGGACTGCTACGTGTGACGTCCTTTTAAGGCACATTGACTTCCTTTTAACCCTATTTTAACTGGGCTATTTCAGACCAGGCTTTTACTGGGGGGGGGGGGGGGGTCAATTTGACCCCCCTCCCCCCCTAAGATCTCGGCCGTTTCACTGCCGATCGCCGCGAAAATTTGCATACATGTCAAGTGAAGTGTATAGAATACTATGGTAATTTCAATTTTTTGAAAAATTCACTCATTTGCATATTTATGGTAATCTATGCAAATAAGGTCATACAATTCACATTTTTGCCCATAAATCATACATTATTCATATTTGAGCATTCATTTTTACTACATATATTTGTTGGACCATTTGGAATAATAATACAACACAAAAAATTGGAAGAGCCAGGTTATTCCTTGTTATCTCTTGTTCTTATAATTTCTTACGTATTTCATTGTTTTTTTAACTTATGTATTTTATTGTTTTTGTTTGTTTTATTTCATTTATAACTACAATTCAACTATTGTGACCCCAAAACAAACACCTTAACTTTAAACAAGATTAAATAACCAATGTTTTATCTCTTTTTAGGAAAAATGAAATTTTGTACACAAATCACAAAAATGAGCGATTTTCGGGCTGACATGCAAAGACAAAAGGTCACGTGACTTTGTAACTATACGTCTGATTTACGAAAAATTATTTTAAAAGATGGGTTAGACTCGAAAGAAAAAAGTCATGAAAGGAAAATTTCATATCTGCCGCGGTTTCGGAGTAGTCGCAAAATTTCTACAGGGAGGTCAAATTGACCCCCCCCCCCCCCCCCCAATTAACATAGGGTTAAGGCACTGCCACTGCCAGTGCATTAAAAGGAAGTCACACGTACCAGTCCACTATTTTGACGTGCAAATCTAAAAGTCCCTAATGAGAGCTATTGGACTGCTCACAGTCAACAACCATGCCTCCGCCCTGTGTGCAACTCCAACTTCCTCACATTTCCCCAGAATCCAAACCCCCTTCTAAAAAGAATTTGTGTAAAGCCCTACCAATAGTGAAGAATGATCAAGGGGGAGTCGATACTGTTTTTACAAAATGAAAAACAGAGCCTCCATGGTGGTCTAGATTGCTGCTCTTATTAAGGCAGCCCTATTCTAAAATTGTTTCTCAAAACCGTCATAACTACAAGATCCATGACATCTTGACGATGTCGCTCAACTTGTTTTTACTTTTTAAAACAGTATGAATGAAATTAAGCCTCATAATCTCTTTTGATAATTCAGGATAAAATCTGATTGATCGTGACTAGAACTTTATCTTTTTAGCCGATAGTATCAAAATCATGAATTTGCCGCTAATCATGGCTTTGTGAAACAGATTGTCCAGTTCCTGACACCTCCATAGGTCGTGGACATAGATTTGACTGTCATGGAGTTGGTTTCATGAAACGACCCCTGTCCGGATTGCCATGCCTGGCGGTCCGGGCCTCAAGCAGCCCTGGTACTAAAATCACCTGTCCCCCTTTTAATATCTCCTTACTCTGTCAGGGTGGTTCACAAGGGATTAACACATGTAGCAGCGACAGGTATGAATGTTGATTGTACAGGTTTGAAATTCAGGAACAAGTAAATTGCAGATTTATATTCATTCTCAACCAAAATTATTCAGGGAATTTTAGTACTAAAATTTCTTCGAAAATGCTTAAAAGTATGACTCAGATTTTACTACAGTGCATCTAAGAACCCGAGAGCCCATAAGCAAACCCCTGAGCCCGGCCTGGAGCCACAAGGGACTCTGTGCTTCGCATAGATCAGTTCATACTCCTTCCACGTTTCAATTTTACAAGTTTTAATTTTTGTTCAACCGTTCAACCATTCTCCATTTTCTTTTCAACATTCTCCCCTTTATTATGGTACAAGAAACATATTCAAAGAATGATTATTGATGTATTTTACATGTATTAAATGGGCAATCCAAATTTCCAAACACAAGCCTTAATTGCTTTCTAGGTATTTGTCTGATCTGGCCTACCGGCAATTGTATTGTACATACTGACCTCTATGTGCTATCTATATTACATGATAAATAGGCAGGAAATAAACATGAATTTCAATTAAATTCAAATTAACTTAAATATCCCACATATCCCATCATATCATATCATAATCATATCATATCATATCAGACATGTACATCAATGAGAATTACGTTACGGTAACGTATTTCATCTGTCTTTGAAATTAATTTCTGAGCTAACGAAGGATGCAGTAGATAAAACAAATGTTGACTGCTTCTTTTTTTACACGCCACTGTAAAAACCATGGCCCTCGGTGATCTCACAACTGTGCTTTGCCCCATGAATGTCGTCTCGGGGCATAGCACAGTTGCGAGATCACCGAGGGCCATATTTTTTACCGTGCCCCTCAAAGCAGTCAACATTTGTATTATAATGTCTTGTGACGATGAACACATTATATATTTTGCATGATTGGTTCACTAAAAGTAGTAGAACTCCAGGCTGAAATTAGAGAATATATATTCTAACTCTTGAGACCAACACCTATGTGGCATAATGTGGGAGTGTGTTACAAATCGATTGCTGGACTACCGTATTTGCCGGCGTAAAGGCCGCAGTATTTTTGGAAGAGAAAATTTCAAAAAGTCGGCGTGCGGCCTTTATGGCAAAACCAGCACAAATTTGTACATATGGGACTAGATCTACCAACGGTACAATAACTATACATTTCCACACATCTTACCGACAATTTTATCTTGCATTGTTGACATGAAGACGAAAATTAACTTCCATAAACATCTGCCGATAGATTTTGATCTAAGTTCGTGCCAATGCATTGCAAAAGTAAAAGAAGGGCCCGTTTAACGGAGCCGCCGCGAAGCATCCAGCATGCGAAGTCGCCATTTTCAATCCATTTCAATTACTAAATCACAGAAAACTGCAGAATATTGTATCAGTGCGTGATGGCTGAGAGGTTTAAGGTGGTGATTTTAGTCACTTCAACATTTGTACGCAAGAGATCGAATCCCGACTTTGGCAAAAGATTTTTTTTTTTTTTTTTTTTTTTTTTTAAATGTCAAAATCGGGGGTGCGGCCTTATCGCCGGCAAATACGACTTCAAAATGAACACTAACATCAATTGAAGTAAATTTTAATTTACTTACATTTGCTAGTTGACCTGATTGGGAGACTTTTCAACTATTACTCTACTACAAATTTGGAGTTGCTACCGGGTATTAAGTTGAAAATGAAATTCTAAAATATTATTTCCCTCTCCTCCTGTAGGATATACCCCGGACGAATCTGGGCCAATAAACACCAGACCCATAGGAGCCAATTCTACACGTAAAGCTACATGTATTTAGGGGTCAAAGGTTATCTCCAATAGCCATGCACATGTATAAGCATGGCTCAACTCTAACAGGCACCTGGGACACCTGGTGCACAAATTCTACAGCCCGGTGTAAGGCGTAGAATTTGGGAGCCTAAAATCTAGGTCCGAATTCCACAAATTAAAAATTCTTACAAAGGGGTCGATCATGCATATACAGACTCTAAAAAGTTAAATCCAGACCCCTTTCCAAAAAAAGTTAGTGTGGAGCCGTACTTGTATGTGACATTCTAATGACAGTTATTACCATCAGTTGTGCCCGATGTAGAGTCCCATGGGCCTTCTTCTCCATCGTTCAGGTTAGGTAGTACCTGAATATCGTAAGCTGTATCAGGGTACAGATGGATCAGTTGTGCAGACATTGAGGTGGTGTTCATAGGATATCCAGGGGCTTCCTCACCAGATTCTAGAGAGGCAGTAATGACGTAGTAGTCCCAGGTTCCAACCACCGACCATGAGATTTCAAAACCGAAGGAAGTGGTGCTGTCGATCTGGAGTCCCGTGACTCCTGTTTGTCCATTCTGGTAATATATAATGAAATACATGTACATGTATTATATATGGCCTTAGTGCACGTTCGAACCCCCCCGGCCCCCTCCCATTCGGGCCGCTAAATTTCTTCACAAGCATCATTGGTTTCTTCATTCCAACTCCATAGAAGCTAGACACATGTGCACATGTCGAAACAATCGAAGCATGCCACATGCGAAAGTGCTCTAGAGCCTATGATAGGCCCGAGTTGTTCCGTTCCAGTACATAAACCGGTCGCGTCTATTTTGTCCGTACCACTAATGCGTCGCAGAGGTTATTATGACGTCCTGAAAGAGCTTATTTTGATTTTAAGGCTTTAATTTCAATAAACATGCTCGGGAAGAGTCTAGCTGGCTAGGTAGCTAGTTAGGTAGCTAATTTAGCTACGAAAGCTCGGAAAGAGGTCACAAACAATTAGACTTACCTAGATTATTTATTGCTTTTCCTCACTATTAATAAAGGCAAAAAAAGAAACTGAATGAATACTGAGGTTCGAACCCACAACTCCATCATTGTATTACGCTGTCCCTACCGATTGAGCTAACGATGGGTTGATGAAAGGTTGGTTTGCATGATTATCATAACCCTATCACTAACCCTAAAGGTTACCATGTGCGCATGCGCAGGTTTTAATAGGGATCTCTCAAGACGTTGAAATAATCTCTGTGACGCATTAGTGGTACGGGAAAAAAGGACGCGACCAGCCTTTAGTAAAAAATCTCTCATCCGCTGCACTCATCTCTACATGTGGGACAACGGTATAGATTTTGCATTGAAATTAATTTTGGAGGTGTCGTTTCTGAGAGTTTTTAACACTTGACTGGTGATTGGAAGGTTGCACGTTCGACCCCTCGTGAGGCACTTAAATCTCATATTTGTTAGCAAGACATTATTCTAGATTTGTCATGTTCTCTCCACCCAGGTGTTAAAGTAGATATTCATTGATTTTAAAAACTAAATTTATTTTCATTATTGCAAAGTTGAAAGTTTGATTCGACAAGGTTATCAAAATTCAATGCTTGGAAACATTCAAAGTAATGATTATTATAAATTAAAAAAAGCATAAATACAGCCCCTGCATAGCACCTGAAGAGCTCTCCGAACGCTGCTTAGATGTGTGAGATCACAGTATGGACATGATTTGCACAAGCAGACGATGTCCCATGACATCTCACACATTTTCAGTGTCTGTGTTTTCATCTTCTCTTGAGTTCTTTCTCGTTCTTCACTACCGTCAGGCTAAATGTAAAATCTATTGCCTCACTCTAAACCCGTGCATGGTTTTATTTTGATGACAAATGCAGCGATACAAAAATAAAGGAATCTACTGCTTGTAAACAAAATAAGACGCCATTGTATATTCAGCTGCACAAACCGTGGTATGTTCGGCGGTTCAAGAGAGAACAAAATGCCGTCCTCAATATCATTCCGCGGATTTTCAATTTGAAAGTCTGGTTTCTTTGATTGATAATTAACCCCTATCCTGTGTATTTACAAGCAAAAGATTTTAGTTATCAGAATTAGGTCATATCCCCTTTTGAATGGTTTGACATGCGATTACATTTATATACACTAAACTCATTATAATTTGACAAATAATAGCTTTGCAATTATGTACATTCTTTATGGGATGTCGTCTGCTTGGGCAGTATTGGTCCATATAGTGACGTCATTAAAACATCATTATTTTTCCGGCGAATCTCTCGTATATCCCAGCTGCTATGGAGGTGGTTGTATTTGTATTTTTATAAATCACCCGATATGTAGTTGACCTAAAACTTGTACGATGGCCATCTGTTAGCTTACCAGTTTCCAGTGATACATTAGTTGACATATTTGGGATTTTCCTTGAATTTCACTTTTAAATGGGTATCAGATACTAATACTACCGGTAGGAGAGATTCTTAAATGCTGTGACCACTGACATCGGTAGCCAAGCTAGGGCAGTGGTGTTACTATTCCGACTCCTTGAGCACCTTCTGTGGCGTATCGTGCCCCCCCCCCCCTTTTACGTTTTTCAGTGCTACAATATAAACAGCCTACAGGGCTCGAAATTAGCGGTTGCCCGGGTGCCATTGACCACCTAAAACGCCACCGGGCAACCTAAAAGTCCCGTCTTGGCTGCACGGCTGGCAACCAAAAAAATAAGTGTCAAAAAAGGAAATGATCTCAAATCGCCTCCGTAACGATTACGAGCGGCCGCTCTCTACTAGCTTTGTATTCATTGTGTGCATTTCTTGGTCAGCATGCACACGCGCGCTGAATCTCAGAATAAAATTGTATACACAAATTTGGTCGTAAAAAACTCGATTCACCTGGCTTACCATGTCGCACGCACGTGAACGCGAAAACACGTACATTTTCGCGGTTGCGAAACGGAGCACAGGGATCAAGTTTTTTGCGGTCAATTTTGTTTTGATAGATCATATTAGCTATACCTAGACCATTTGCTAAAAAAGATTGCGAAACTGCAATCAATTTCCATCATGATTGCCACAATTGTTTATAGTTTTCGTGAATAGAGGTATGACATCAGAGCTTATTTTGTGATTATTCTCGCCATGTATTGTTAACTGAATTTTGATAATCATTTTTCAAATAAGTTTTCACAAGAAAATCAGAGAAAATGATCGTGACTGACAGTTCAGTTGCACAGTGCAGTGTCACTGCAGCTGCTGTGTGAGCTGAGCTGAGCTAGATTCTAAGAGACTTGACATTTTGAAATTGCTATCTGTTTGCATCATTATTGCCGCGATTTCAAAGTAGTTTCGTGAATAGAGCCCGACTGTGGAAAAATGTACCGAGTGGCCATTTTGAGCGGCCATTTTGAAATAAAAAATAAAAAATAAAAAGAGCCTCCTCCTACCTATTTTTCAAAAAAACAGGACGCTAAACATGTTTTTTTTTATTTGGCCTTTCTCTATCCTTACTCGAATTTTTGGAGGGGGCGAAAATGCGTTCCCCCCCCCCCCCCCACTTTTTTGGTTGGGGGGAGGGGCGAGTGCCCCCTCCCACCCCACTTCCGGCGCCTATGTATATATATATATATATATATATATAGACTATGTGTGTATAAATGTAAACCAACAAATTGCGAAGAGCATGAACTACAATTTTATCATACAAAGTTAATAAAAAGTTAAAGGCGTAGACTATTAAACGCATTAAAAAAAAAACCAAGCAAGCAGTCACTCGTCACATGTGTCCAAAATTGAATTGAAGATTCTCCTGAAGTTCTCGAAACGGTAGGCTACAATACAAGCCAGCACTCAACACTCAATCAAAGCCAGGCATGCCGCCTTTATTACAATGATATACCGGTTACGGAATCCCCTCTGCCATACTAGCGGGCCGGGAGGGATCGAGGAGCTCGCGGTGCCCGTCGTAACTTTCCAAGAGAGATGAGACTGATTCTTTACCCCTGATATTTACCTTTGCCTTTACACCTGGAATTTTAAAAGAAGGTCGTACACCATGATGAATCGACTCACAAAGCTAGATGCTCTTTTAAATGGGAAAATCTACCAACACTTTATGTTAGTCCGCTCAGCTCATGCGTACTCCACTAGTCACTCCACCAGCGCAGCAAAATTTACACGCTACTACTTGTGCGTTGACTTCGTCAAGTTTGTGTCCTCTTTCACCGCTTAATAATTACCTCCTCTTTTCCTCTCTTTACCTCTCTCCCACTCTCTAATGATCTAATGTTATGATCTATGTGTCATTTGAAAGAAAGACGAATAAATATCTTATCTTATCTTTTCTCTCTTTATCTTAATATTACCATCAGCGTGATGATTATTGTCATTATTGATATTGTTGTTATAAGTACAGTTTAGTATAGTCAGGGGCGGTGCCATGCAGAGGGGGGCAGGGGGCTGCCGCCCCCTATAATTTTCAAAAAAAGGAAGAGGAAGAGAAGAAGAAAGAGGAAAAGGAGGCGAAGGAAAAGGAAATAGGAAAAGAAATAGAAGAAAAGAAAAGGAAGGGGAAGAGAGCGAAGGAAGAGGCCAGGAGGAAGACACTATGAATATGGCGGACAAAATATAAAGTTCCTCGGGTAGACAAAGGAAAATCCCTTCACTGCTATTATGTAAAAAGGTGAATATGCATGTGACACCTGTTCTACACATTTTTACATAATAGCAGTGAAGGGATGTTCCTTTGTCTACCTGAGGAACTGTATATTTTGTCCGCTTTCTTTGTCAGTCATATTCATAGTGAGAGAACTATGAAATGTAAATATGTACCATGACGTAAGGGAGGGCGGCCGGGATCGATCGAGAGGGATAGAAAAGAAAAAAATAAAGATAGAGAAAATAAAGAAAAAGAGAGAAAAAGCAAGCCGAATCAGATGGATTACTGGCCAGCAGACGCGTACGCAGAGGGGAGGGGGGGGGGGGGGAGGTTAAACCCACCCCTTCAGGTTTTGTATGTGTATGTTTTGGGGAACCCCCCCCCCCCCCTGTTGAGTTTGGATTTTTTATTTTAAAAAAAGAAAGAAAACAAACACAAATGGATGACTTTAAAAAGATGAACAGTCTGCAGAAATTGTTGGAAGAGAGAGGAGTGAAAAACAGGCGCGTAGCCAGGGGGGCGGTGGGGGCGGTCGCCCCCCCCCCCCCCAAAAAAAAAAGAGAGAGAAAGAGAAGAAAAAAAAGAAAGAGGACGTAGGAAGAAAAAGGGAAAGGAGTCGAGAACGGTACAACGAATCGTCTTCTTTCTCTAATAATTTAATGAAACGTCAAAGCTTCCGCGCTTCGCGCGGAACGGGAGAAATTGTGTTCAAATTAAGGATTAAGAGTCGAGAATGGTACATCGAATCGTCTTCTTTCTCTGATTAATTAATGAAACGTCAAAACTTCCACGCTTCGCGCGTGAGGGGACTGAATCAAATAAGGATTAAGGGTCGAGAAAGGTACAACGAATCGTCTTCTTTGTCTAATAATACGTCAAAGCTTCCGCGCTATTCGCAGGAGGGGCGGACTGAATTCAGACAAGGATTATGAGTCGAGAAAGGTACAACGAATCGCCTTCTTTCAAAGCTTCCGCGCTTCGCGCGGGAGGGGGGAATCTCCCCCCTCCCTGCACCCACCCCCCTAGGGAGAGCGCTACGCGCGCTCTTAAGTGATTCGCACGCTTCGCGTGCTCACTACCGCCCCCCCTAAAATGAAATCCTGGCTACGCGCTTGGTGAAATAACTGGGAGTGGTACTAATACATAAGGCTAGGAGCCGAGGGTTGTGGAACAACATGATCGCCAAAAAAAAACGATATGGCACTTAGAGAGAGATAATACATAATAATTGGGGGGGGGGGGAGTAGTGTATTATAGTGACAATTTTTCTTTTATATTAAATAAGTTCCCTGCATCGACATTCTTCCCACCTTCTTTACTCTAAAAACTCAGTAAAATCTCACTGATTCAATGCACTGTCATAAATTATTGTTTTATAATTGTTCACACTCTGAACATGCTGAATATGACCTGCCAATCATTCTTTGAGCAGATTTTGCGTTTGGGAAATATTTTGTCCAGTTCTGATCGAAAAAGAGTAGCCTATTACTGCAAATATTACTCCTTCCGTATCTGAATTATTTACTGTATACTCT